CCGACTTGTATATCAATTCCAATTTCTTAGCATCATTGAATTGCACATCTGTAAATTCCGACTATATCAACTATATATTTAGGGTATGACTGTATCAATTCCAGTATTTAGACCCGTGCAAAGCACGGTTTCTAAAAGATTTTCACAACTTGATTGTAGTCATTGATATTAACCAAAGGCTCTTCGTGATTTTATCCAATATGGTTTGACTCAAATTAATTGTTTTATGTAATAGTTTTAAACAATGACTTTTATTAATAAAAAAAGATTCATAACTTGTAAATCCCGTATAAGGGGAAAATAACCAGACAAAAACACATAAATCCCCTTGGAAATCAACTATATATTAGAAGCGTGGAATTCAATACACAAAAATTGGGCAAAAGTAGCCATATTGAGCTCATTTTAGACAATCATCCTTAATAGTCACCATAAAAGATGAAACACATACTCCAAACATGAGCATAATTAGGAGCTACCCGCAGAAAAGAAACATACCTTCACCAAATTGGATAGAATCATATACGTTTCTGCGTAGTACTGAACACAAATATACTATCTAAAAGATGTACTATAAATTAAAAATTACAAAATCTCATATGGACTCTTTTACTCTCCTATGGACTCACTCATTTCAAATTCTCTTCAACATTATCATGATAATAATCCTTCAACTTCGGTTCTTAAAAGAAATTTAAATTACCAATCTAATTTGTATTAAACCATATAAAATTTGTATTATAACCTACAAAGGGCTTCATGTTTTCACAAAAGCACATAAAATTTATATTGCTCAATTCAACTACCTAAATGTAATTCCATAATCTAATCACTAATCAATGAACCCAAAAGCTATATTTAATAAAATTAAACTATAAATATGTAGTCATTCAATCTAATCACTAATCAATGAACCCAAAAGCTATATTTAATAAAATTAAACTATAAATATGTAGTCATTTAAGAATTAATTAAGGGAGAAGTAATAAACTATAAATATGTAGTCATTTAAGAATTAATTAAGGGAGAAGTAATCATAATACACTGGTAAGTTTGAAAAGTAATCATAATACACTGGTAAGTTTGAAAACCAAGAAATAGCTAGCAAAAAAGTATAAAGATAAAGAGGCCCAATAAAAAAAGATTTTCCCTAAATGACGAATCAAACACTGATCAAAATCAAACATGAATAGAAAAAATTTGATCTAAATCAAACATGAACAACAAAAATAAGCCCTAATCAAGTATCTGACTGCATGAGGTTCAAATCTTACCACTAGCAAGTTTTCCTCATTTGTACGGTCTGATTGAATCAAATCCTATAACCACATCAATATGATTTCCCTAAAACTAAAATAAAATCTCAACAAAACATATCATAACTTTAAGAGGAAATCTTTAAATATGAAAAAACTAAAAGGCATTTTATAGTAGTGATCACACCTTGATTTTCTCGACGACAATGGTCGATCATAGCCCACTCATCCCTACAATGAATATTATAGTTAGTTTCTATGATGATTAATTTATCGAGGGATCTGTAGTTATCGGCAATCTGCGAATACCTCCTATTCAACCTCGGCCCTGGCCTCGATGCAGAAGAAGTCTGCTTTGGAAGGTGGGGCTGAGGCGACAGCGGGTATGCCTAAGGTGGGTGGTACCCATAAGGTTGGGAATAAGAATCAAAGCTTTGCGTTGACGCCGGAGACTGAGGAGAATAAGAATCAAAGATTAGGTCTTTTTCCTTCTCTAGGGCTAGTAGGTAACCCCTGCCCTTGATCCCCCCGCTAACGTGTGCCACGCCCTTGATCCCCCCGCTAACATGTGCCACATTCGAGAGTTTCTCGTTGAGATCTACAGTAAAGATCTCTCCGGAAGAGGTGGAGACGAAGACGTTTCCAGTGCTGAGATCGATGGCGGCGTCAGAGATGGAGAAGGTGTCAGGGAGGGGAGAGGAGAAGATGAGGCAGTGGGGGATGGGAGATCGGAGGTCATAGGAGGATATCATGGCGGGAGAGGAGAAAGCGGTGGATGGAGTTGTCATTCCCAACCATTTAATAAGAAATTGATATTCCTACTTAAGTGGGAATAAAATAATCAAATAATTTCCGATTATACCCTCCTTAAAAGATATGAATATATATATATATATATATATATATATATATATATATATATAATTTTATATATATAATTATAATATCACTAAATAAAAATTGAATTCTATTCTAATTAATGGAAATATCTGACTAGCTAGAATTTTCATTCTATTATGATACATAATCACCATTGATAATATACATTCTATATTATTTTCATATTTTTAGAATTTAGATTATCTTTTTTATTTTACATTACTACATTAGATTATTTTTTATTATTTTCTATTATTTTTTATAAATAATTTATAGAATAATAATATTTATAAATGGAAAATAAAATTTTTTATGATAATAAAAATTTTTAGGTTTGAGATAATAGTTATAACAAATTTTGTTAATACTATAATTCTGTTAATACTATATTTATAGTATAGCAGATCGGTCCTAAAAAAGTATAAGATATGAATAAAGATACAACAATCAAAAATCTAATCAGACATTCCTCTCATTTTGTTCAAAAAATGAGGATATAAGAAAAAACTAAAGAAGAAAGAATATCAGATACATCACTTCATAGGGAAGTTGAGGTGAAGCTTTATAACTTTTAACCATGTAAAGGGATGGAAACGGGACCATTAATATGCGTTTTAAGGTAAGATTTGGACTTCAGGTGAAACCCTACATGAGATCTATAAAACAAGCTGCCATGGTAGATCTATAAAAAATTCTCAACAGTTAAAACTCGTCAGGGAAGGCAGAGTTAAAACAGAGGGGAATTGAATTAAAGAAATAAGAAACTTAGGTAGCAAGCATTGCAGTCTGAAGAACACCTTTTAGATTTGTGTAATGCCATCAATATGGGGGGGGGAGGGAAACAGAAGATGATTAAACACTTTCATATAATACAAAGGAACACGTCTTTTTCATTTTTTTCAGTAAAGAAAGCAAATGCATTTTAGTGGCTTAAAACTGACAAGTTAATACAAGATCTCGTAGAAAACATGTAAACATTAGTTACCAAGACATGTCATTTTTATATTCTTTCACCAATACTGATCTTCTCTCTGAATTTTGTTCAATGAGAAAAAAAAACAAAGAAAATGCGTATTATTTTCAGGGAAACTTGTTCAAATAACAGGTACAGTCCCTCCAGGTTTCATACAACAGAGATTTTGATAAGACGAAAAAACAACCAATTACGTAGAGCTCCAAAAGCATGTACAGAATGATACATAAGCAAAATAAGAACCATGGAAGTAGAAAAGGTTGGTTGGGACAAGTTGGGGCTAAGTGGGATAATTGTTCCAATTGAACAATTTTATACATTTGGGATATTTTGAGTCGTGTAAAGTGAGACAATTTAGGATAATGGGACAATTTGAAGCTTTGATTTGACAATTCATGTGGGATAATTGATGATGTGGCACCTTATTAAAGTATAATATTTATTAATCAATTAAGTCTAATTAATTTACCTAATTGGTTTAGCATATTATTTGGTATGTTATTATAATATAATACATTATTTTACTTTATACTAAACTATAATATATTATATTATAATTACTAATCAATTATAATTATATTTAATGTTATTAATTAATTTAATATAATAATATGATATATTATATAATAATTGATATAATATACAAACAATATATTTAATATAATATTTCAATAATATAATATTTAATCAAATATTATAATATTTTGTTTAATTCAATATAATATTATTTAAAATATTAAATTATTATTAAAAATATAATATTTTATTCCTATTTTATGACAGTTACTATACTTTAATAGAATAATTGATGACATGGGACTCTTATTAAAATATAATATTTATATAATCATAATATCTATTAATAGTGCTCAATATAATTAACTAAATAATATTATTAAATAATATAATATATTTATTAATTTTATATAATATTATACTGTTAATATTATGTAGGTAATTTATTATAATTTTTATCATAGTAAATAAAATATTATTTCAATATTATAAACTACCATAATGTTAACACATAATAATAGTATTTCAAGGACGTATTAATGAATATAAGTAAAGTATAATAGAAATAGTAAACATATATATAGTAACATTATATTTATTAGTATAATTAATATATTATATAAACACGTATTATCAATCACTTTTATATCCATAAAAGTAGGGCGACAATTAATATTTTATTCAGAGCCACTATAATAAAATATATACTAAATAATATAAAGTAACATTATAATAATATAATACTAATATTATAATATATAAAATATTATTAACCAATATGTAATAATGATATATAATAATGTTATATTATATAATATTTTATTATCTTATGTTATAATAGAATTTTATAATATAATATAATTAACATATATTATATATTATAATACAATTAACATTTATTAGATATTTAATAAATTAGTGCTTCAAAATTATCCCACTTTCCTCGTGATTGTCCCAAAGTTAAGAATGGGGTAATTTTTAGAGGTTGAGATAAAAAGTTTGTATAGAAGTTGTGTAATTTTGGGAAAGTGGAGATAATTGTATTAATCTCATTGTCCCAATGAATAACACCTTAAAAGTAAAATCTCAATCTCATTATCCCAATGAATAACACCGTAAAGTAAAGTCCCAAAAATTATCCCACTTACCCCAAAATTACACCAACCTACCCCCCCCCCAAAAAAAAAAAAGGGAAAGTACGGAAGACACACTATAACATATTATATCAAAATGTGAGTCATTAATCTAGAAATTTCTGAGAAAAACGGTAAAAGGCAAAATTAGAACAACATATAGGTTACCACTTAAGCTGCATCCAAACTTAAAAGTAAATATCGTAAATATGTAGACAGAAAATGCTAGGAATTGGAAAATAC